AGAGATAAGAAAAACGCGAAGGACACGAGCGCTGTGGCGTCGTTCTGTTCTCGCGCTATAACAATCGTCATGTCATACCAACTAGCCCCAGCTGCCACACTTCGCCCCATCGACGGGGACACTGGAGGTGCTAGGAGGCCTGACCCAGTGCCGTCAGACAGTACGGCCGTGCCCTGCTCTCGGTCGACGCCGAGAAGCCCTGCTGCTTTTTCCACCATGGCTCCTGCGCAAGGCCAGCTGACAGCAGCTATGTGCTGCCGGCCAACGCCAGGGTGCCTCACAGCCAATTCTGGTTCGGCCTCCCTGATCCTCGGTGAGGCCCGGCTTTCCAGCGAGGTTCCCCCATCCCCACCGAGAAATTCGGGGCCTCCAAACCACCACCGAAGCGGCGCTCGTCGGACACACTGACCAATCATCAAGAGCAGCAAAGAGCCATCAGTGAGCCCCCTTCCTTGCCTCTGACCTCGCATTCGGGCATCGCACTCAGCAGACATTGTTACGCTCTTCCGCCCCTCCGCGCAATGGACGCTATCCCGCTTCAGCACCACGAACACTAGTCCTACTTTCTTGTGCTCCCCTTTGCAAACATGTATAGTGTCATGTTTTTATTTTGTTATTAATGTTATTTTCTCTTTCATCATTTCTTTAGCAGCAGTTACAGGGCTAAACTGACATTAGCTGTCGCTGTCATTTAACTGCATGGGCGACGTCCGGCTGATTTTGCAGACCGGTAAAGGGCAAATTTAGGAGAGGGGGATGTGGGAATTGAGGCTAGCCCGTTGCCATTGCGCGGGCTTTGCCGCCTATTTCTGCCGTTCTCATGTCTCGACATGACTGACCTCTTCCGCTGTTTGCCGCGCTGGGAGAGCAAGGAGTGAGGTTTAACCCTTCGCACTCTGTAGCGGATGTCGACCATGGCAACGCGCGTGGTCTCCTTAGAGGCTTGGCGCGCGTGCGTTGAAAGTGAGTCAGAGATTCTCTGGGACAGCTTACGGTGAGCACGCATTCCCTTTTCCGTCCGTCGACTCTCGTTGTTTGGGGCTCCTCGGACTTCGCTGACGGCGCCTCGCGCCCAAGGCGAACGCTCACCTGTTGTTGCCCCTTTGCATATGCCCGGCAGAAAGGCGGTGCGGTGTCCTAGTGTGGAGCCAAGCTACGCCGACCCGTCCCCCTCTGAAGCCAACGCGAGTGCCTTTTCCCTCGCTCGAGCAACCGGGCCTTGGTCCCGGTGTTTCCGTGAATCACTTTTACCACGGAGACGTGCTCGTGGCACCCCATGTAGTACTTTTCGCCCGTGGCGTGGATAAGCCCATTTTCTTTCCTGCAGCGCCTTTGCAACGAGCTGTACTGCGTTTTGGTGTAGCCACAGACAATAAAGTGTTGCTACCTTGAGCAGTACTGTATTCTCGTCATGGCGATGGTTAACGCGTGCCCTGGGGCCGTACTCCTTCGGGATACGTGTCACTACAGCCCTTGCACAAACGACAACGTACAGTAGGTTATTAGAACATTTTTTTTATGCAGCTGAGGTGAATGGGTTCTACAGTGGCATCAAATGTCATCTCAGTTGCAGGGGAACTGACAATAGAAACGCACTTGGCAGACAAGGGTAGTACAGTTGTGTCCATGGATACGTAAAGGGTGCTTTCCTGAAAGGGTGGGTTTTCCATGAACGCTACTTGAACATCGAATCTACTGTAATCTCTCTTGTGCGGCAATCGACAGTGGCATCGCGAAGCTTCCGGAAATCATGTCCTAGAATTACATCATGCGTAGAATGAAAGAAAACAGCAAAATCAGAAATAAATTTCTGACACCCCAAACTAACAGCCACTGTGCATACATCAACAGGTTGTGCTCACTCTACGAAACATATCAGCACGGTCCTAACGAAATAGAACTTTTCGTCCAAGAAGGCGTTTGAATGCTAGACTCATCATCATCATCATCAGCCTCACTACGCCCACTGCTGGGCAAAGGCCTCTCCCATGATCTGCCAATCAACCTGGTCTTGTGCTTTTTGTTGTCACGTTATACTTGCAAACTTTTTAATCTCATTGGCTCACCCAACTTTCTGTCTCCCCTTCGTGTGTTTGCCTTCTCTGGGAATCCAGTCAGTTACCCTAATGCCACTGGTTATCCTGCCTACGTGCTGTGTGTCCGGCCCATGTCCATTTCTTTTTCTTGATTTCAGCTATGATATACGTAACCTCGATTTGTTCCCTGACCCACTCTGCTCTCTTCTTGTCTCTTAAGGTTACACCTATTATTTTCCTTTCAGTCGCTCGCTGTGTCGTCCTCAATTGAAGCTGAACCCGCTTTGTAAGCCTCCAGGTTTCTGCTCCGTAGATAAGTACTGGCAAGATGCAGCTGTTATATATCTTCCTCTTGAGGGATAGTGGCAATCTACCAGTCGTGACTTGAGAGTGCTTGCCAATTGTTCTCCACCCCATTCTTATTCTTCTAGTTACTTAAATCTCGTGGTTCGGTTCCACGGTTATTACCTGCCCTAAGTAGACATATTACTTTACAACTTCCAGCGTCTCTCCATGTATCAGAAAGTGTTGTATTCTGCCAAGGTTGTTGCACATTACTTTAGTTTTGCACATAATAATTTTCAGACTTACTTTTCCGTGTCCAGTTAAGTAATCATGAACTGTAATTCGTTTCCTTAGTTACTCATCAAGGCAATGTCATCAGGGAATTGCAGGTTACTAAGGTTCTCTCCATTAACTCTTATCCCTAACTCTTCCCAGTCTTGTGTTCAGAATACCTACTGTAAACATGCGGTTAATAGCATCGGAGAGATCGTGTCTCGCTGCCTTACACCCTACATTATTGGGATTCTTTCGCTTTCTTTATGGAGAACCATGGTGGCTGTGGATCCTTTGTAGATTTCTTCCAGTATGTTTATGTAGGGTTCCTCGATGCCCTGATTCTGTAGTGCCTGCATTACTGCTGATGTCTCGACTGAGTGAAATGCTTCCTTGTAATCTATGAAAGCTATGTATAGTGGTTAGTTGTATACAGTGCATTTCTCTATTACCTGATTGATAGTATGAATATGGTCTATTGTGGAGTAGCCAGTACGAAATCCTGCTTGGTACTTTGGCTGATTGAACTCTAATATTGTCTTATTTCTATTAGCTATTATTTTTGTAAATAGTTTGTAGAGAACGGAGAGTAAGCTGATCGGCCTGTAATTTTTCAAGTCCTTGGCATCTCCTTTCTTATAGATCAAGATGATGTTGGCATTCTTCCAAGATTCTGCTACCCTTCCCATCAAGAGACACTTTGTATCTAAGGTGGCTAATTTTTCTAACACAATTTCTCCGCCACCTTTCAGGAGGTCCGTTGTTACTTTATTTTCATGAGCGGCTTTGCCTCTTTGCATTCCTACTAGGGCTTTCCTTACTTCCCCTGTCGTTACTGGTAGGATGTCGAATTCTCTTGGACTGTTATAGTTTCTCACAATACCATCCTTTTTTTTTTTTTTTACTTCTGTACAGCTCTGTGTAAAACTCCTCCGCCATATCGACTATCCTATCCATATTGGTTATGACATTGCCTTCCCTTGTTTCTCACTGCATACATTCAATTTTTGCCTATGCACAAGTCTGCCTTCGCAGCTTTTAGGCTTCTGCCTCTTATTACAGCCTGCTCAATTCTTTACATGTTATGCCTCCTGATGTTGGCTACTTTATGCCTATTGATTAACTTCGAAAGCTCCACTAGCTCTATTTTGTAGGCTTGTGGGAATAGTGAATTCTTGGTTCAAAGCGAATAGTGGTTCTGATCGAATAATTTCGAATCGTATTTGAGTGGTATGTATGACATATAAAAAAAAAGGAATATTTCTTATGCCCCAACTAACCTGCACAGTGTTTCTTTTGCATTGAAATAGGGACTCTATGCAAAGGCCATTCATTTTTTCGTTCAAAGGAAGTCCAAACAACCTTGAGTAGTAGTTTCGGTAGAATGCAAATGATAACCTGTAAGATACTTAATGATTTAAAATTTATTATACTTGGATCATATAAGCAATTATAGTAAGCTTAATAAAATGGAGAATTGATTCGAGGGTAACATGTTTCTTTAAAGGGGTTCTGCAACACTTTTTCAAGTACCCATGGAGCCAGTAAACATGTTGCCTCACAAATTTACTGCCGCAAAGTTTCTAGAATCAGTTGAGCGGAGTTCAAAAAATTTGTCGCACGCTGTAATTGCATTCTTTCTTCTCGTCTTGACGAAATAGCTGGAAGCTAAGCAGGGAGGAATGGCATGGCGAAAGAAAATACTCCAAACGCACCTCGTAATCTTGAGCACCTCCATTTTTTTTCTTCAAATACGTGGCTTTTCAGTGCGATAGCACAAGTACTCATGGACAAGCGGTGATCCCAGTAACAACGAGCGCACTATGCTCAAATCAGCCAATGCTTGTAACCAAAGCCGTATATTTCTTCTTGACTGCGGCAAGTGATTTTTTAGCTTGTAGTGTCATTTGCCAAGGAAAGAAAGCAATTTTTAGCTTTGAAAATTTATTGTAAATTACAGGCCATGTGCTGCACTACAATATTTGCCTCACATGTTTTTGGTAGCCTTGTCTACCGATCGGCAGCGTTTTCTGATCATGTTCAGTTAGTGTTGCAGGGCCCCTTTAACTTTGAAGGGAGGCTTCACGGCAAAGCAAATTTTTTTGGGTAGGTGTTTTCACTGTTTAGCACTCCTACTTGCAGTGAAACCATCTTTACAGGCTAGCCAGAGGCTTGTATTCAAATCACGTATTCAGTACACTATTCTCAACGTTAATTTACCATGTTTAGAAATTGTTCAATATACGAGATAATTTGATACAAACGGGTTCAATATAGTCGGGCTCCACTGTGTGCAGCAATACTGATGAAAAGATCTTGAAAGCAACTAGGTGAGCGTACCGTAACTCCTAAGTACACGTACATCATGCTGCGTGCCTAAAGTGTGCCATAATTTATTTCTTTTAGGGTTGATGCATTCAAGAATGACCTGCCGTGGGAGTTTACTGTACAACAGTATCCCACCATCATCTTTTTCTCACGCAAGTAAGAAGGTTTTTTATTATTCAGTCGCACCATTTCACAGCTCAGTTTAGTGTAAACTTCTTGATAATAACCGGTATTTTTTTTCTTTTCCTTTCTTGTTTTTTTTTCTTTCAGTAAATATGGCTAGGCCTGCCAAAGCGGATTGGAAGCTTGAACGGCAGAGCCTGGCAGGCAAAAAACAAACCGAACGTGTTACATAATCGTAGTTATTCCCACAATTTACTCTACGTATTGCATGCTTTCATTATAGCAGATCTAAATCTGAAATGTTTGTGCTGCAGTGCAGTGATGATGATGCTACAAGCTCTTACAACAGCTGCTGTTTGAAGCTACAGTAGCATAATGCATTAAAATGTAAGCTATGGCATGCTTAAGAAGTCTAATAGTTTCTGAAAAGATCAGGCTGCCTGAACTTTATTAAATTTTCGACTTTTTCTCCGGGCTCCAGTTGTAGGGAACTTTTCATTTGTACTACTACAAAGGACTATGTCGTAGTAAGGGCCTGAAAGCCTTTACGTTGCATCATACCAGCGTGCCACAATGCGGCACTGCTATGGGTTACTGGCTGCAATGGGAGCAAAGTAGTGTTTTTAAGCAGGCACTGCTTTGTTCGTAGTAATTTGATGAGGTTCATTGATGCTCACTACATATATGTCATTTTTTTTTCTTGGCATCAATATAGTGCAACAACGTTTATGTCATTCAGATTTCTCTTCCAGATTATTTCTAACGGTGACTATTGTAGCCTCCTTTGCTATAGAACCATATCCGGTTGTCTATTGTAGCATTCACTTTACCTGTCTAGTGGGTGAACTTTTTTTATGATTATTATTAGTATTTTTTGTTATGTATGATGCAGTAGTGTTGTTACAGGTTATGAATACTCACTGGAGTAACTTGGCAACAATGAAATCAATGCGAGGTTGAAGGTTTCTTGATGAGGATTGAGGCAGAATGGGAAGAGGGGTAATTTTACCAAGAACTGATAGGAGTGCAATGAATCCCATCGTAAAAACAGTGATAACTTGTTTAAGCAGTAGCAGCTACAACAGTGACTGACCATTTTTGGGACTGTTGCAACAATAGAAACTTTTGTGACAATATTATGGTCACAACAGTGACCATTATGCCAACAGTGCTTCATAACAATGGCACAGCGTCATAAATGATGGTAGCATGATGTTGCATTTGTGACTTTGCCTGGAAACGTTTGCAGAATGATGTTGACAGTTATGAATCCTATGTGTACTGTTTGACTGACTCCTGCTTTTAGTTAAGGTTCCTTTTTATGCTGTTTTGTACATTTGTTTTTCCTTCTCTTTGTGAATTCACGACTGAACCGTTTGTGAGGTTTACAGCTGTTGGGTCACACGATCACACCTTTTTACCATCGGTTAATGGTAAGGCCCAGAATTTCAATTACATAGGTGATAGATTTTAGTATTGTATCATGGGTCTGTCGTGTTGAGACAGTGTCACTGTGGCATTATGCCACTGCCGAACTCTGCGAGTTCACTGCTCTAAATTCTCAACAAAAATAGGTATTATACAAGCATGCATTTTGTAAAAATAAAAATTATGTATTCCTTAAACAACAGCACACGTTCAAAGCACTTTCGAGACTTATGATATTCCAAGCAGCCAGAGCCAAGCTTAGCCATTGTGAAAAAGTTGGTACACTCAAAAACACTGCTTTTGGGGCCCTCTGCACTCACCCAAGGCACACACGTTTGTATTCCAAGGTGTTCAAAAATACCAATGTCCAGTGCAACAATGACATTTCGGGCAAGCAGTTGTTTCATTTCTTGAACATGTGAAGCTCTCGGTCATGCAAGGTGACACCCATCTCCAAAAGTGTCGATGATATTATAATGTGGGCCCAGTCAACACCTTTCAGAAAGCCTGTATTATGCAGGACATGGTCACCTAATTAGCTTGATGCGTTCATCGCGGTTTCTCTTTCAGGAAAGCGGACAGCGTCCAGTACTCGGGCTTTATCACGACGACGCGGCTCGTGCGCTTTATACTGCGTCACATTCGTCACGAAGTGGCGAGGCAACTAGTGACGACCCTGTGCGATTCGCGTCTCTGCCTCTTGCGAAGCTTGCGGAAGCTTCAAGCCTGGCGGCTGCGCTGTTCAAGACTGTATCTTCTGTCATCCAAGATGGCCAAGATGCGTCGCAGGGAAAAGACTTTACGTGATATGCTGCTGTCTCGATTACGACGAAGAGGGCGCTCATGATATTTGTGGTTGTTGTAGGGCGTTACCGTTTAAAGTTTATCGAAATTGTAAACTTCAGTGGTGCAAATTGTCGCCGACCCTTTTCCGAGTGGTTGGTGGACGATTTTGTCTCGTTGAATCGATCTTCGATTCGTGCAGTGCTAGGTGACTTTTTGGTGCCCACCACTTCCTGGGGAGACATTTTTCATCTGCTGTTTTATAAGACACACACTTGTTGAGACATTGTGATATGTCTACATTTTATAAGCTCTTCGCCTAGAGATTACGGTGTGATTTGACATCTTTTGAGAGAAAGTTTAACTGCTGCCATTCGATAAGGGTTGCACGCGCATGGCTTTTCCATGCCGCATGTTCAGAAGGAGCTGTCACCAGCACGATTATTTTTGAGGAGTTTGGTTCCTTTTGTAGTGAATGTCATGTTCTATCAACAATCGGTCCAAAATCTAGTGTTCTTGGATATAAGTGATCTTAATATACGTGGCTGCAAACTTTTTAAAGCAATATATGAATAGAAAGGACCAGATACAGCCTTTGATTCTCAAGCACTATTTATTTGGTAGGGACAGCAGTGTAGACGAATTTAATATTTCGCTGACTTGCGGAAGCTGCTTTTTTGAAATTGCAGTGGGCTTGAAAAAATGTCACGTGACTGTGTCAAACACTGAGATGACATTTGTTTTAGATATGGAAGATTGCAGTGTGCTTAAAAAAATGTCAGGTGATTGTGTCAAAACACTGAGATGACATTTGTTTTAGAAGAGGAAGGTAGCTGCTGCTTTTGCTCTATTGGCCATTCGTCAGCCCAGTAATTTATAAAAGTCCATGTAGGATTTAAATGAAATGCTTTATTTTTAATATCTCCTTAAGTATGTATGCTACTTTGATTGATCGGAGTGTACTCTGTCAAGCCCTGTGTCTCTTTAGTCTTTTTAGAATGTCTAATTTAATGTTGCTCATTTGTCAAGGTGTAGGATTTCTTAGTTTATGTAGGGGAAAAAAGCTGCAAGCATTGTGAGTCTACCTTTCGGCAGGATGTTTTTTGTAATTGAACGAGTTTTTTTTTGTAATTGAACAAGTTTAGAATTTTTTAAATATCTGCTAACTTCAGTCAGTTTTGAGCGTGTGCTAGCCATTTTTTTATTCTGACCCATAATATGCGTGCTTGTCCTGCAATATATTTATCGAATTGTATCATTTATACCAGTAATTTCAACTTGTGCTTTCTAATGGTTTAAAATGTGAGAACTCGTCTTAACAGCTCAGGAATTGTGAAAATAATGATATGCTTAAATTTATTCCATGTCTTACTTTTATATAGAGAGTGCTGTACAAATGTCCGAAATCTAAAGCACTAGAAAATCTGAACTGTTTGCTGTGGTGATCTACAACCACCTGTCAGGAGTGAAGGCTGTGGACTATTCAGTAGTAATTTTTGAACTATTTTTGTTTTCAGTTTTTTAACACCAAGCTGATATTTACTGCTGATATTCAAGGAAATGCTATGACACTTGAAAAGACACAAATTGCTTGAACTTACTGTTCGTTGTTGGCAGTATAATTTCGTGCAGTTTGCCTTTACATTGGTGTTACTGCTAACCATGATATCAGAAGCTCAGCCATGCATTATATTAGGCTCAATCAGTTTATTGCATAATTTTTTGCTTGTGTTATTGGGGTATTCAAATTTATATCATGAACTATATATCTTTTTGATGGCACATTGCACATTGCTGAGTTATTGTAGAAGAAAGTATGAACATATTCAGATTTTTCTTTGTGTGTGGTTGGAAATGTGTACCTGAACTATACGTCATGACTAGTTCTACCTATTTTGTTCTTTTGGTGTTAGTATCTACAGTTAAATGATGGGACATCTTTGCTCTGCGGCGGTTGATTGAGCAGAACAGTTGCAGCTGGCACAAACGTGCGCTTTCTCGGATTATAGCCGTAAATAAATTTTGTTGTTTTTGAAACTATTCATGTGGTTTCAATATACAGTGGCTTTCAGTGTACATTTGAATGTAATTATGGTTAACAAATATTGCACTTTGAAATTATAGCCACGTAACACTGAATACAGGAAGTTCTGTGAAGAAACATTTTCTTCGCTGCGCTGTTCTACTGTACAACTTGCCGAGTAACTACACTTTTACCATTACTTTTATATTAGTGAAGCGCGGGCACTTCTAGTTGCAATCAGGGCGATCCGGAGCGGTATTCTTGATCATGATGCTACTACACGGCCAAAGCTAATCCGGTTCGAGCTTGGGTCCGATGAAGTGCACCAGGGGGCGCTTGCAAGCCGTAAAACATATTGGATATGTGTGAAACATTGGATATGTGTGCAAGGCTTGATTTGATCATTTGCAACAGTACCGAGAAGTGTGAAGGGCAAATAACATGGGAGGGAGGAAGGCTGCAGTCGACGATATATTATGCACTGATGTCACAAAGGATGTATGATAAGCTCAGGGGAATGCACATAGATAAAGGTGGCTCCAGAAGTCTGAGTAGTGATCACAAACGTATCAAGCTAAGTTTTAGAAGAGCAGTGAAAGAGGGAAGGAGACAAGATGAGCAACTACAGGAAAATTTTTATCCAGGAAGGCAAATTTAAATAGCCACTAAACAAATTGAGAAAGTAATCACGGAGGATAATAAAACAGTGTGGACATACACGAATCTAATTAGACTGTTTGAGCTAGAGCTTGCTAAGGCACGTGACAAGTCACCCTGAAAAAGAAGACACAAACCCAAGAGTTGGTGGGATGAGGAAGTTAAGAGAGCCATAGAAAAACGTCGGGAAGTCTCTAGAGAACACAGACATGCTAAGCAGCTGGGTGAACCGACAGATGATGTTGAAAAAAAATGGGAAATCTTTCTAAGCTATAGAAGGGATGCATCCCGTCTGATCAATGAAAAGATTAGAAGAAAGGGAGCTCAGTGGCTGGCAGAAGTACATAAAAAGGACAGAAAGGCAGCTACGAAATTTTGGAACCATCTAAACTCCCTAAGAAATGAAACAAGCCTAGAGCAGAGGTTTATAACTACAGCTCAAGGTGCTGGGCTTGAAGGGGGTGAAGCTATTGAATATATAAGAACAAGGGTGACAGAAAAATTTCAGCAAAGAAGTGCTTTATACACAACAATAGGCAAGGATGAATTAAGTGGCGCAATGGCTATTTTCACGAGAGTGGGAAAGGGCTAAGAAGAGGGTTCCTAGTAATACGTCAACAGGCCCAGATGGCATTCCAATTATGCTGATGAAGAAATTAGGTCCGAAGTTAAGCAGGATTTGAGAGAGGCAGTGAGCAAAATAACAATCGATCGTAAAGTCCCCGATGGATGGAAACTTAGCAGGATGAGCATGATCTATAAAGGGGGACAAAGCTGACATAAACAACTACCGCCTTATAACAGTTACATCAGTGGTCTACAGGCTAGCGATGCAGATTATAAAGGAAAGAGTGCAGGCATGGATAGAGGATGAGGGGGTGCCGGGGGAACTTCAGAATGGGTTTCAGAAACACAGGAGGTTGGAAGACAATCTGTTCTCACTGACGCAGTGCAAATAGCAGAAAAGAAACACAGGCTCCTGTGGCTAGCATTTTTGGATATCAAGGGAGCGTACGATAGCGTGGTTCAAGAGGAATTGTGGGGAATACTGGATACACTAGGCGTGGAAGATGTAGTCACTAATCTTTAAAGGATATCTATAAAGGTAACAAGGTAGTTATAAAGGGGGAAAAACAAGTGTTCAAGCCTGCAGAGGTAAAACGGAGGCTTACGCAGGGGTGTCCTCTGTCACCCGTGTTATTCGTGATGTACCAACAAGGATTAGAGGCCAAATTAGAGGGAAGTGGACTGGGCTTCAACCTCTCTTTCGTCAAACAAGGAAAACCTATTGAACAGGCACACCAACATTGATGTACGCAGATGTTATAGTGCTAATGGCCGACAACAAGGAAGATTTGCAGAGATTGGTATACATCTGCGGTAATGAGGGAGATAGGTTAGATTTCAGATTCAGTAAGGGAAAATTAGCAGCCATGATTTTTAATGATAATGAAGATAGTGAGTTTAGAATATAAGAGGCCACGCTTGAGATAACAGATAAATACAAATATATGGGCATATAGATAAGCAATGGGACGGAGTACTTAAAGGAAAACGAAATATACATGCTCACAAAAGGTAACGAGAATGAACAAGTGATGAAAAACAGAGCATTGTGGAATTACAATAGATATGAGGTTGTGAGAGGAATATGGAAAGGGGTCATGGTTCCTGGTCTGACGTTCGGCAATGCGGTCTTGTGCATGAGATCAGAAGTTCAAGCGAGATTAGAAATTAAGCAACGTGGAATAGGTAGGCTTGCTTTAGGAGCTCACGGGAATACACCAAATCAGGGAGTACAAGGTGATATGGGATGGACATCATTTGAGGGCAGGGAAGCTAGCAGCAAGATAAAATTTGAGATGCGATTGAGAGAAATGGGGGAGGAGCGTTGGGCTAGGAAGGTTTTCAGCTACTTGTGCATGAAGAATGTCGATACAAAATGGAGGAAGCGAACCAGGAAATCAACTGGTAAATACTTAGAAAACAGCAGGGGCCCAAACCAAAAAGAATTATCGGTTAAGAAGAAGGTGAAGGAAGCTGAGACCGATATATAGAGAATTGGCATGATTAAGAAGTCCGCACTAGAGATCTATCTAACTTTTAAGCAGGAAATTGCCAAGGAAAGGATCTATGATAATACTCGAGGTAGTTGTCTACTGTTCGAGGCCAGGATGGGAGTATTGCGAACCAAGACATATCGGGCCAAATACGAAGGGGTAGACACGTATGCAGTGCGTGTGGAAAGGAAGGAGAAACTGCTGAACACTTGATAATGTTCTGTAAAGGGCTTCACCCTGTAGTTCAGGATGATGGCGCCGAGTTTTTCAAAGCACTGGGCTTTTGGGGCAGGGAGGGCAAAATAGACTTTAAGCGGGTAGAATTAACTAGAAGGAGGTTATCTGGTTGGTGGCTAAAGTCAAGGCACGAGTGAAAATTAAACCCTTCACTGCAAAGTAAGAGTCCTCAACCTCACTATTTAAAGGAAAAAAAAAATAAATCTAGTTTTTGGTTCATTAAGTATTACGTCTTGGTGGCGCTAGCCACCCCCTGATCTAAAAGGTACAGCCATATCCATCGATCTATCCTTACATGTCACTGATGAAACTCAGTGTACGATTTTTCTATAGAGCCATTTATGAGCAATGTTATTCATGCTAGGACCATTGAACGTTAAAAACTTTACATGACTTTACAAAACTTTTAGTTAAAAACTGTGTAGCTGGATTAAATCGTATCTAACATCCCGGCAGCAATACGTTGTTTTTAAAGACACTCCATCAAACATGTTACCTGTTGGCTCAGGGGTTCCCCAGGGCTCCGTGCTTGGCCCGTTGTTGTTTTTGGTGTTCATAAATGATATTGTTGATAATTGCAGGGTTAAAATACGATTATATGCAGATGATTGTGCGTTGTATTCACTTATTCACACAGTTGAAGACCAAGTTAAGCTTAAGGGGGCAGACTGGTCTTAGACATTTTTTGTTTATTTCTTCAGTGATCTTGATAAAACTGCAAAGGGTTATGCAGTTTTTTCTGCTGATTTCAAATATTTAATTAGTTTTACTGTAACTCACTTTGTTGCTGAGATGACTTAAGTTCACCCCCTATTGTTTAAGGCCACCATAGAAAAAAAAGTGCTTAAGTAAAAGTGATATTTAGGATATGCCAACATAGACTAATGACTATAGAGTGAAAGTATGGAAGAGGTTTTTGTTTTTAGGCCTTTATTGGTTATTTTGCAGCAAAATGAACTATACATTTTCAAAAGCAATTGGAATTGTGTTACAATTCTGATTAGTAATTAATTAAAAAGGCATGTGCGCTAAATTCTGCTTTCATACTTGCATTCTACACACATACAGGTTTTCACTGCAAGGATAATTATTGTTGTACCTGCCCTAGCTGCAGAGATATTGAGGCCTCAAAACTGAATAGTCACAAATTTACTTTTTTGAGAAAAATGGAAAAAACTGAAAACACACAGTTTCTTCAAAAAGCAACAATGATGGTGCGCATCTTTTGCAATCCTCATAAAGGTGCTCATAAATTGGTAGTAGAGCTTTAGACAAAGGTGCTGGCAAATTATAAAGAAGCCTCAAAGTCGGTTCCCCATTTTTTTGCAGGTTCTGCATATTAACAGCACCAAGAATCTGGACAGTTAAAATGACATTACAAAAAAATTACTACTTCCTGATGCGTGAAAATTTGCAGAAAGATAGAAAAATACTTGCAGAAACCAAATATGTCAATTTTAAAAAATGAACTTTTTTGTCACTTTTTGGTCCGAAAGAGCAGTCTGCCCCCTTAACACAGAAATTGAGAAACTCATGAAGTGGTGTAATTCTTGGCAAATGTGTGTAAACTATCAAAAAAGTGTGGCCATGTCGATAACAAATAAGAAGTGTCCCCTTGTTTACAATTATACAGCTGATGGAAACATCCTAAATCGAGTAACAGAGTACAAGTATCTAGGCTTGCATATATGTAGCAACTTCCACTGGGATCGACATATCGACTACATATCTAATAATGCAATGATGAAATTACATTTTTTGAGACGTTCTCTTCGCTATTCATCATACGACACTAAAATTCTGGCGTACAAATCTCTTATCCAACCCATTTTGGATTATGGAAACATTATCTGGGATCCTTACACCAATGTCAATATCCATAAACTAGATAGAATCCAAAACAAGGCTGTCCGATTTATTTTCAAGAAATACGGCCCAACATCAGTCTCTGAATTAGTTGCCAAAGCGGGATTCAAACGGACTTCAGAAAGAAATAGAATTTTTCGTTTGTTGTTCTTCTTTAAGATAGTTAATGGTCGAATAAATAGTAACACAGGTGAATA